AACTTTTTAATTAGGCACTGTAATTTGTGATTACACTTAAAAATGATGATGATAATTTCAATATTGAGAGCTATTGCGTGACCATCGACGCGAGACACCCACGCATGTGTATGAGAAAAAAAACAAAGACACATGACTAAAAATGGCCCATCTGTCTCCTTTTGTCCCTTTTGGCCTGGTTTTGGCCTTTCAGACCTGGTTATGGCCTTTCTGGGCTGTGTTTGGCCTTTTTGACACTCTATATAACCTGACTATTTGCGAAAAAGATGTCATTTGTGTTCAGTCATCGAATTGTCAACATTATTTCCAAGAGAGTTTGCACAAACTGTCCGATTTCATCGTGTGGGGCGAAGTACCTTGTCAGATAAGCTAACCATCTCGCGGATGTTCATCAGTTAGACCACATACAGCGAAGACAGTATTTACAAGAGGCGAAACTGCAACCTAAAGTTAAAGTCGTCGTTTACGAAAGTGAAGCGGATAATTCCGGAAAAAATCACTATCGCAATCCAGTACAGACACGAGAAACCGTGAACGAACTGTAAAGATCACGGAGAAATGAAGCCTCTTTTAAAGCAAAAGCTAAAAGACCGACTACAAAGAACAAGACAAAGCGCAAGAAACAAAGAAAGTCGAACTCTTGGCTTAGAGACCATAGGAAAATTGTGTAGACACGGAAGGATTATTTATTGTTCCTCGAAATAGAATGGAAAAAACGGATTTGTAATAGTCAGTCAAAGGATTAATTTTAATTCCTTTTCCTGTAAAATGGCAGTACATTTGACTCTTTTGTCATTGTTTTTAATAAAGTTATTAAAACGGTATCTCTTGCCTGGTTCTATTGCTAGCAATTATTATTCGTCGCGTGTTTTAGCTGATCCTTGTTATAAGTTATTTAAAACTGTTTATATACTAATACGTCAAGATGCTCCCTTGAAAAAACCCACATTGATCTTCCAGATGACGTTCCAGACTTTTTAGATACTACAATCGTCGTAAAGCTAACCACCAAAACAACACTGACTATATTAGCGGTGCCTCGAAGATTTGTCGGCCAAAACGACTAGCCTTCAAAAACTGTACACAAAGAAACAACGAATCTACCACAGATTGTGAAGCCCGGCTCTGAAGCACCACCAAAAGGTCCAAATATTCGGTGATAAAAGAATCACTTTTGGAAGGTAGGCGTGACCGTCTGTGCATTGACCTCCGCATAAAAGGACCTGAAAGAACTAATTCGTCAACACTACAAAGACGAGCGCGAAGGGAAACATCATTGTCATTTGAAATACGACGCGTCCGAACAAAGTACTAGGAGGCTGCCCACAACATCAATAAAAAGTCATAGTACGCTCTGCCCACCAGGAGGTAGAAGAGCAGGAAAATCACGTGACACATAAGCCCCAAGCCCTTTCGAACACAATGCGTATGATGTGGAGGCAAAATTGCCCATAAGACAGCCAAACAACAAACTTAACTGGTTTCAGAGCTGAGAGCTGTGCTACTGTTCACCAGGTTTTGATTTTAAAATTTGCCAACGAGCTCGAAAAGTTACTACCGCTTTGCCTTGACTGCAGAACGCTTTTCACGCAAAGGGAGCCGGGACAAATGACCTTGATAGAGCTGTTGCGTGCATATTGCGGTCGTGCTCCTCGTTGATCTTCCCGAAAACTGCAATTTCATCTGCAATTCCTACGACGCCTTTACATCCTTCAAAGGTATGGTCCCTCTTAGTCTGGAAGACTAGAGCTACTTTGAGGCTAAAGGGCATGCGCCTGAACCTGTATATCCTAAATGTAGTGAGGGTAATAGACTCTTCCCGAGACCACGTTTCGGTATTCGCATTTTTTCTCGCTTATAGAAAATACTTTAGCATCCTTCAGATTTAGTAGGATCTCTTTTATGGTGAGAGCGACATGATGTTCAATCTGAGTAGCTATATTGAGGTCTTTGGCGTTCAGGTGGAGCCTCAACCTTCCGTTCTTTTTCCGGCGGTAAACAAAGCTGTTCAACCATGGTGTCAATTCACTTTTTTCGATCTTCCCTATAATGACATTTCTTGTCTAGTTCCTTTTTGATGTCATCTTTGAGGCTGATTGTCACACGTCTCGTGGGATCGAGAATTGGGGTTAAACTTGGTTCAATTACTATGTAGTATTCGCCTTGGAACCTTTCCACAGCGTTGAAGCATTCGGCATACTGACTGATCAAGTACTATTTGTCTTTTTAAGGGTTACTTCTTGCAAGCTGTATCGGTGCAGGGTGTGATCGCGTTTTCGTGAGTAGTAAACTTGCATATGAAAAGCTTCAAGTCAGTGGAAGACTGGAGACCTATGATGGCTGGGCCGGGAATTTCTGTGACATAGATAGAAGGATACCAATGGTACCGCAATGCGTGATCTGTGAGCCGCCGTAGACAGTGAGGGTAATATCCGAGTGTAATAAGGAACCAGAATTGAGATCATGATCATCTACACACGTAGGGGCCAAACCAGCGCCCAAAAATTTCGGGGGTGGTTTGGCACCTACGTGCTAGGTTCTGCGGGCACATTTCACGATAGACCCTCAATGGGAATGTGTTTCCCTGTGCACCGGTGTCCAGCTTGAAGATGTTCTTATGAGCGTCCTGTTGCAGGCTTAAATTAACTGATACAAATGCTTCACCACCAAGATGATGGGTCTCCCTACCTGAGGAGCTTGAGGCTCGGCTTCTGGCTTGTCCTACAGACTGAAAACGTTGTCTTTAGGCTTTTGATCTGTAGGCGTCTGCAAAATGGTTTGACTTCTTGCGGGACAGACATACTTGATCACCTGCTGGGCAGTTAGAAGGTGAACTACGAGCGCAGCTGCAGTTTCTGCTCATCCGTGTTCCTACAGAGGGTTGATAATTTTACGGTTGGTTACGCTGTGGTCATTTTCTCGTATTTTGGTTTAGAACTACGTGAACGGTTTCCTCACAATCGTTATTGCTACTGCCCGCCATGGAAGACATTTGTGCTTGAGATGTTTTTAAGAATCAAGAAATCTTTACCGTTTCATCTTGTGTTAGAGAGGACCCTTTACTTATTAGTTATTCTCTGACCTTGGGCGTCTGGGTGTGTGAAATCGCAGTTTTCGGCCATCAAGGATGCGTAGAAAAAAAAAACAGGGTAAAGACAAAGGCACACTGAGGAAAATCAGTCCTCTCTCGTCTCCCCAATGCCCCACGTACCATGAAAGGTCTTCACATCCTTTTAAGAGATTCATATAAAATAATAACCTAGACAAAGAAATGTACAATTTACTTACAAGTAACGTAGCGATGACAGATTTGAAAGTATCGCAGGCGGAAGCTTATTGATCTTGTTGTTCCACAAAATCGTGTTCTTTTTATCTGATTTACACAAATCAGATGTGTAAAGGTACGGTAAAACGGGGAATGAAAAATGTGCAACTTGATTTGCAACATCAATTGCTGCAAAACGAGTTCAATAACGCTGTTTCACGTTTCACCACCCACGAATTAGACCTGTCTTGCAAAAAATGAGGTCGTTGCAGTTGCAAAAGAATTGATTAACGAGTAGTTCTACTGTTTTCCCTTTTTATCGGCCTTGCAAAGTTTTGCAGCGAGGTAAGTACGTAAGTCCCTTGTATGGCGTGATTACCGTGTAAAATTATCCAATCAGAAGTTAGTATTCACCCAACTGGCTTGTTGCAAGACAAGTGTGAACGTGGGTGATAAAACTCGCAGCTTCACTTTCCAACTCGTTTTGCAGCATAATGTTGCTAAGCAACTTTTTTTTGTTGCCCATTTAAGGGACAGCCTCTTTTCCGTGACGTTTCAAGCAAAGTGAGCTTTATGTTTTTGCTTTAATCGTTTAACCCAACTCAAGGGAAAAGAACTCTAATGCGGTTTTCTTTACCCATACGACCTGAATTAGTTGGTAGGCGCTGTTTCAGGTAGATGCTTTCAAGGGGCTTGTGTTCAGTGTAGACGGTAGAGCTTTGGCCGTACGAGTAGGTGTGGAACTCCTCGCAGCCGGGAGCTGTCAGTGGTCTTAAGTTTTGGAATAATTGGGACCATGTAGTTTTCTATCCCTAGGAAGATTTGCAGTTCCTGGTGGTTTGTAGGGGGAGGCATCTGCTTCAAAGCTGAGATTTTGATTGGGTCTGGCTGGACACCATCTTGACCACACATTACTTCATAGAATTTGATCATCTCTGGACTCACAAAGCAATTGTCGGGTTTAGCTTTAGCGGTGTCTAAGAACCGTTTTAGCATCGCGTGCATATTGCGGTCGTGCTCCTCGTTGATCTTCCCGAAAACTACAATTTCATCTGCCATTCTTACGCCGCCTTTACATCCTCAAATGTCTGATCCATCTTAGTCTGGAAGACGTCCTGAACTATTTTGAGGCTAAAGGGCATGCGCCTGAATCTGTATCTCCCAAAGGTTAATTAAGGTTAATAGACTCTTTACCCAGGGCCACGTTCCGGTATACGCATTTTGCCTCCACTATAACAAATACTTAAGCATCCGTCAGGATAAGTAGGATCTCTTCTTGGGTGAGAACGACATGATGTTCAATCCGAATACAGCTATAGCTCCATTGAGGTCTTCGGCGTTCAGAGGGAGCATCAACCTTCCGTTCTGCTTGCGGCGGTAAACAAGGCTGTTGAACCGTTATGTCACTTCACTGACAACTTCACTTTCCAAATCGTTTTGCAGCGTAATATTGCTAAACGACTAGCACTTTTTTGTTGACCATTTACGGGACAGCCTCTTTTCCGTGACCTTTCAAACAAAGTGAACGGTACTTTTTTGCTTTTAAAAACGTTTAACTAAACTCAAGAGAAAAAACTATAATGCGACTTCTTAACGAACACGACCTGAAGTAGGAGGTGGGCGCTATATGCTGGACAAGACATCGTTATGTCCCCAATGCGCAGGTTGCAAAAGAGGTTTTAAGATCCTTCGAGATCAGTCATATAAAAGAATAATGAAATATTACGTCGTTCACTTACAGTGTTTGCAAGGAAAGGAGATTTGAAAATATCCCTGACGGGAGCACCTTGATGTCGTTGTTTTCCAAATCTCTGTAGGTAAATAAACAAAGTTACTCTGGATTAGATAAACGGAAATCGTGGAATGTTTTTACCTAGTCTTTATAGACTATCAACTATAAAGGAATAAATTTTGCAACTCAGTAATCAGTTAAGTTGGATAATTTACTGTAACCGTTGTGGTCTCGTCCTATATCGTGCAGTGTAAGGTCGTCGCTTTACCTATTGCGCCACGACGCCAAGTGTTAACTGTGTAGGTTAAATTAATTATCTTTAACGTTTTTGCCCATTAAATTCTACTGATAAACGCTGTTTGAAGCTGGTAGAGCTGTATCTATTCAGAATATATTCGAGGAAAATACTCAGGGGTTTGACAGGAAAAGCTGCACTTTAACTCATTTCTTCTCATTTGAAAAACATATGGCCGATAAAGCGACATTTAATATTAAAAATGTCTTGCAAAGCCGTCGCCAAGTCTCTTTCTGACGGTGTTGTACAGCTCGTAATTGTCTGCATTTTTAATCAGGAGAATCGTTTACGATTCCGCAACAGTAAAAATTGTTTCTTTTCACAGGGGATGAATAGCCATATTATCCGCCTTTCATTTCTACGGATTCTTGTTGTCGCCTTCTTCGTTGTTCACGCTGAATTTAAAAATGCCCCTAGACGCGACGTCGACGGAATGACGTCAATTAGAGCTTAGTCGCCACATCGTTGCTAGGCAACTCCGTATGCCAAACCTATGGAAACAAAGATTTATGAAAAGAGCAAAATTGAACTCCGCTTGCGATCCTCGCGCGACAAAATTATAAGTTAGCTTCTCTCGCGGCCTTTGTTGCGATTGTTTAGAGGGTGTTTGTTGAGTTGGCAGGCGCAGGTGCCATAGGTAAGGCGCTTTCGTTTTTCCAGATACTAAATAAAAGAAACAATTCACACGCGGACAAGTCAAGGATCATTTGATTTAAGAACATGAACAGTTTCTTGTACATTGTGGTTTGTTAACACTTCGTCAAAAACTGGAGAGGCGGAAAAAGTGCTGTTAAGGTGACTCAAGTTTGGAGAAATCGATTTGATTGTATTTTTTTCAATGTATTAAACGCTATCTTATAATTCTTATAATCGCGACCATCCATCAAGTAATCTTCTTTTCAGATATAAGGTCTTATTAGAGCGACTTAGACAGAATAGATCCATTAAAACACCTAGTGTAAATACTGAGCGTTTCAAAAATAGCTCTTTAAAGAGATAAGTTTTTAAGTACAGCCTAGCTGTATAGATATTAGACCTTAGAATTTTTTAACTTAAATTACTTGTATAAATGTTTTAAAAGAGATTTCAGAATTTTATTATTATTATTTTTCTTTACTTGGATACAGCGGCATTTTGCACTTGATTCTTATATTTTCAATGTAACATCTAAAGTATTTTTTGTGCGATATATAAACTATAAACTATAATAAATTATCATTATTGTTATCACTGTTATTACCATACTCAGCCTAACCTATTACTTGCTTATTATGGCCTGCACGAAAAGACTTTGGGCTTGAGAAAGACCTAAAGTCGTGGAAGTACTATACCGGAAAGCAAAAGGAACTTTCCCTAACAAGGTTGCTCAGTGTTATCAAATTCCCCTTCGCCAGCTGTCCTGCATTTGAGCTCGACTTGTACGACAAAATAAATCAAGGATGGTGCTGCTGGAGGCCTGTGACCTCACCAAAAATTGTCGCCATCTTGAAATCGAAATCGAACGTCTCTCTGAAATAGCGAAGAGCCAGCCCCATGCGGCGTATATTGCTTTCACAAAAGGCTACAAGTCGAAGTTCACCTACCTCATGCTCACGATTGAATCGTTTGAAGTTTATGTCGATCCAATCCAGGAAATGATTGAAGATTTACTACTCCCAACTATTTTCGGTCAATCAGAGCCTCTCCCTAACGAGGTGCGCAGACTTGCTACCCTAGCAACAGGTCAAGGGGGTCTAGGCATTCCTGATCTGAAATCCGAGGCACCGCAGCAGTTTGCTGCCTCGAGACTAATAACCACCGCGCACGTAGATTCTATTACTTCACAGAGTTCCATCATGGTGTCAGGAGAAAGATCTACGGAGGAGCTAAAGAGGCATCAACAATCACTTAAGAGAGCAAGTGCCAAAGTGAAAATGGATAGCATTGATTCAAGCCTCTCCCTAGGCCTGCTACGTCTGGTTAATCAATCGAGAGACAAGGGCGCAAGTTCTTGGCTGAATGCGATGCCTCTCGCAGACAAAGATTTAGCCCTCAACAAGCAAGAATTCAGAGACTCGCTACGCTTGCGTTATGACTTGCCCTTAGTCGATTTACCAAGTCATTGCATATGTGGGGATAAATTCACCGTTAGTCACGCCCTCTCTTGTAAAAAGGGGGGGTTTGTAGCGCAGAGACATGACGGTGTACGGAACTTGTTAATGACATTCATCGACAAGATCTGCAATAATGTCGAAATCGAACCACGCCTCCAGCCCCTGGACAACGAGCGATTTCATTTGAGGAGCGCTGTTACAAGTTCTGAGGCAAAATTAGACATCAAAGCGGGAGGTTTCTGGGCAAGAGGAGTTACGGCATTTTTTGATGTTAGAGTTACGCACGTCAACTCCAAGTGTTACCAGAGCAAGCCAACATCGGAAGTGTTCAAGGAGCAAGAAGAAGAGAAGAAGCGCAAGTACCAGCAGCGGGTTTAGATGTAGAAATGGGTTCGTTTACGCCTTTAGTGTTTGGAACCAATGGTGGAATGGGAAACGAGTGTCAGCGGTTCTTAAAGCATCTCGCAGACAAGATAGCTCAGAAAGACACCGAGCCTTATCATGTTGTAATCACTTGGCTCAGGACACAGATCTCGTTTGAACTCTTAAGATCGGTACATGCATGCGTCAGAGGTTCGCGAACGCCGTTTCGTAGCAAGATGGAGCAATCATTAGACTGTAAAATAAATGTCGCTAGTGCGGATATCTGAAATACGTGTCTATATGCTTTTATACTTAGGGCTTTTTATGGACACTGGTTTAGCCGTCATTAGTATAATTCGATTGTATGATCTTGATATCTCTGCATAATGGAATTCTTAATTTTATAGAATTTTGAACTTTTATTATTGATTATATCTATTTCCTCTTCTTTTATGTAAGGTTAAGTTACTTCTATTTTTTAGAATTTGTAAATGAATAGTTTTCTCTTTCTTCACTTATTATATATAGGATTGTTTTTGTTCTCTAATGAAGGAATTGTAGATAGTGTTTTGATGAATTGATTAGATTTTTTGTAACAGCAGGTTGATTGTAAATAGGATTTTAATTGAGGTTTTGTAATAAAGATTTAAAATTTTAAATCAAAAGTAGAAATCAGGTTAAAACCGCAATAAATACTATTTTTTTTGTGCTTGACATGTAAAATAATACATAAATAATCACTTTGCATTTTCACTCAAAAAATGGCTTGAACACCTGTTACTTATGATGTCATATCTCGTAGCCATAGTAAATGACCATCACTAAACTTGTCTCAAAATGTGCACGAGGGATGAAAGAACAGCTACTGAAAACTTCATGTTCTGATGTTTTATCGTCTAAGAAAAATTTAAAAAGAAAACTCAGAGGGGAGGGTGGCAGCCACCCCCCTACCCTCAACCACTTGTACGTCCGAGGATTAAGATCAACACAGCTACATTGAATTCTTAACTGGGAAGCTGAAATCCATAATTTAGTTACCTAAAAGAGCCAAGGGCTACCTCAATCTCCACTGCGAAAAATTGCTATTCGATGCACTCGTGAAGTTTATCTTTGAATACTGTTGATCGGTTAAGGTTTAGGCCCCTAACGACCACCTGTTGAGAATACTTATAGTACAAAAACGCCACAAAAGATTAATGTTAGAAGTTAGGTTATTGGATAATTCAGTACAAATGTTCCAGAAACTACAGTGGCTACGGAGTGACCGTATAATACGAGAGAAAACACTACACTGTGCATGATGTTCAAAACTCTAAACAAAGAATGTCTAGATTATTCAACAAATTATATAACTCAAGTAAAAAAAATTATCATAACTATAGCACTCAATCTTTCAATAATCTTTTCGTTGTACCGTAATGTCGGTCAAACGCTAGTTTTCGAAGATTCCATGCGAGTGCGACTTATCTATGGTACTGTCTGGACCACAATGTTATAAACATGACAAATGAAAGGAACTTTACAAAACATATATTCTTGAAAATCAATTTAAATCGCGAACATTTTGTTTTTGTTACAAGGACGTTTTAAGGCACTTTTTTGGCAAAATTTTTGATATCCATTCTTTTGTACCAAATAGCTATTTTCAAGTATTTTCAACCTTTTACCTTCTTAACTTCTCATTTTGGCGATGATGAGGATTCATTCCTCAAATAGTTTGAACTGGAGGGTGAAATTAAACTAGGGGAGCTTTGAGACAACAACTGCTCATTCCGGTTGGGTTCCACTACTTTGTTGTCCTGATTGTTGTGTGTTAGGACCCAGACTCCCTGTCGGTAAGGCATTGGAACGCCTGACTATAGGATTAGAAACCACGAGTCGTGTAGGCGAAATAAAGCCATCGTCCAAGGTTGAATCCGTTGTAATCTTCCATTATTTGCCGACTAGATAGGTCACAACATTGTCGATGAGGGTAAAACAAGACCAGAGTCAGCGAGACGAAACGTTCGCGGGAAACATAGACGATAATGAACGAAACCATATCAAAACATTCGACTGTCATAGGGACCAAAACACGCTTGGCTTGCGATGGAAGCGGTGGCTGACAGCATTCGAACTATTTGCAGACGGCAAAGGCTTAATTCTAAATGAAGACAACGCGAGCAACAGGCAGAGGAGACGTGCACTAATGCTCCATCTCGCAGGACCCGATGTTGAAGATATTTTCCTTACCCTGCCGAACACGGGAGATGTGAAAGATTACAGGAAAGCGGTCGATGCCCTGAACGCATACCTTGCTCCCAAAGTCGACACTAAGTATGCTAGACACTCTTTCAGAAAGCTAATTCAAGCACCAGGGGAAACAATCCGACATTTTGCAACCAGACTCAGACAAGCATCGAAAGATTGTGACTATGGCGAAGACACAGATAACCAAATTCGTGATGAAGTCCTCTTCAAGCGCACCAGCACGTACATAAAACGAAAACTCCTGGAAGAATGTCAAGGCCTCACTTTAGCTAGAACGCTTGAACTCGCCGAGAACTGCGCAAAAAGCGACGCACAGCTTGCTGCGATGAGCATAGAGGAAAAGGGAGAGAATTCAGCTAGTGTAAACCGCATAGAGGGAAAAAAGAGACGCCATGGCAACAGAAATCAATCATGAGGTACCAAAACCGGCCGTGAGAAAACTTGTTACCGATGTGGTCGAACCGGACATTTCGGTCGAGATTCTAACTGTCCAGCAAGAGGTCAATTCTGTCATCGATGTGGGCTCGAAGGACATTTCCAAGAGCAGTGCAGGACAAAGCAGAAAGGTGAAGAAAAGGAAAAACAAACCAAAGGCCGCAGGAACCCTAAGGGAGGTGCTGCAAATATGGTTGGTTGCCACAACGAAGAAGAGGAACCAGTGTATTCTTTTACGGTAGGAGGCAGCAATGAGGAGAAAATTGAAGTAACCGTTGGAGGTTGTAAGCTGAACATGATCATAGATTCTGGAGCAAGCACTAACATCATTGACAAGGAAACATGGGAGTGGTTGAAGAAAAATAAAAGTGAAGTGTGAATCAGCTCGCTCGAGTAGGAAACTCTATGCCTACGCATCCCAGACACCACTTGATGTGATAGGAACATTCTCCTGTGAAGTCTCTGCAGGAAGCAACACTGCCAGTGCCAAGTTTTGTGCGATCAATGGTGAAGGAGACCCCCATCTGGGGAAGGACACTGCAACTAGTCTAGGCGTACTAAAAATAGGGATTGGCATCGCTGCAGTAAGTGCAGACCCAAAGACCATTGGTGGGATCCTGCAACAGAAGTACCCAAATGTTTTCAGCGGCGTTGGAAAGTTGCAAGACCGAGCAGTACAGCTCCACATCGACCCCACGAGATTCAGACGACACTTGCGGGTATAGAAGAGCAAGAGAACATTTCAGATGACATCATCGTAAATAGTTAAGACCAGAAAGACCACCATTTGCGGTTGGAAAAAGTCATCGTGAGATTAAAGGAACATGGACTGACCCTCAATGCAGAAAAGTGCCAGTTTAGCATGGATAAGCTCACATTCTTTGGCATGGTATTGTCCGGGAAAGGAATCAGCTGCACAGAAGAAAAGGTGAAAGCCGTGAAAGAGGCACGAGAACCTCGAACGGTATCAGAAACCCGAAGTTTTCTTGGGCTTGTAAACTACTGTGGCCGCTTCATACCCGACCTGGCAACGGTATCTGAGCCCTTACGTCGCCTGGCAAAGTCAGGAACCCCTTTCGTGTTCGGAGGTGAACAGAAGAAAGCCTTCCAGGAGCTAAAAGAGTGGTTGGCCTGTGCTGAGACTTTGGGGTACTTCGACAAAGATGCCCCAACTGAAGTAATTGCCGATGCCAGCCCAGTTGGACTGGGAGCGGTACTGACCCAAAAGCAGAATAATGGACCGAGAGTCATCTGCTATGCAAGTCGTAGTCTGACAGACACCGAGAGAAGATATTCGCAGACAGAGAAAGAGGCGCTGGCACTCGTATGGGCCTGTGAGAAGTTCCTTCCCTATGTGTATGGTGTGCCATTTGATCTTGTTACAGATCACATGCCGCTGGAAGTTATTTACGGCCCAAGTTCAAAACCCTGCGCACGCATTGAAAGATGGGTGTTACGAATGCAGCCATTCAAATTCAAGGTCAAATATGAGCCCGGGCCGAGCAACATTGCTGACCCCCTCGTAAGGCTAGTGGCCAATTTAATAACGAGCAGCAGTCACTCAGCTGAAGCCGAAGAATATGCCAAATTTGTAGCCATAAATGCGACCCCCTTTCCTATGACTACACGAGAAGTGGAAGAAGCCTCAGCAAGCGATGAAGAACTCTGTGCAGTCAAGGAATGCTTAAACGGAAAACCGTGGGATCAGCTAGCTTACAAGAAATACCTCCCATGTAGTAGTGAACTGTGCAGAATCGGACAATTGAGACTAAGAGGGACAAGAATCGTTATCCCGAAGAAACTCAGACCCAGGGTGTTGTCTCTCGCTCACGAAGGTCATCTGGGTATCGTTGGAACTGAACAGAAATTGCGCAGTAAAGTGTGGTGCCGCGGAATGGAAAAGGATGCTGAAAAACACTGCAAAACCTGCTATGGATAACAGTTAGTCAGCCGTCCCAGCCCATAAGAGCCTATCAGGAGCACAGCATTCTCGACTGGACCATGGAGAGATTTGGCAATTGATTTGCTCGGACCACTCCCCACTGGTGAGTCCATTCTGGTCGTCGTTGACTACTATAGTCGCTATTACGAGATAGACATCATGAGATCCACAGTTGCCTCTAAAGTCATCACGAGTCTGGAGGAGATATTTGCAAGACACGGTCTACCTGAGAGTTTGACATCTGACAATGGACCACAGTTCGTAGCAACAGAGTTTGCAGAGTACATGGAGCAGCAGGGAATCAGACACCACAGGGTAACAGCAAAATGGCCCCAGGCAAATGGAGAAGTTGAGCTCCAAAATAGCTTGCTTCTAAAAAGGCTCCAACTCGCACATGCTGAAAAGAAGAACTCGAAGAAAGAGCTGAATGTTTATCTTGCAGCGTACAGAAGCTTACCTCACTCAACGACTGGTGTAAGCCCTGCCGAGTCGCTCTTCGGACGGAAAATACGCACCAAGCTTCCTGCGCTGAGCGATGTACATGTCGAACAAGAAGTGCGTGATAGGGACAATGAACAGAAGAGTAAGAGCAAAGCGTATATACGCTGACATGCAAAGGAATGCGAGGTACTCAGAGGTACTTCCTGCAGATCAAGTGCTAGTGCAACAAGAAAGGATAAACAAGCTCACAACCCATTTTGAACCAAGGCCGTACACTGTGGTAAACAAGCATGGGAACAGCTTGATAGTGCAATCTCCAGGAGGAGCCCAATACTCCCGCAATACATCTCATGTAAAGAAACTGCTAGAGAATGGTGATACACATGTTGATGCACCAAGTATACCGGAAGTGGTGGTGACCGGACAGCCCCACAAGCAGAATAAACTGACCCCGCAGCAGAGTGTAGTGATACCAGAACCAAATGTTGTTGAGCCTTAAGTTCCACTTAGCAGGTCCCAGAGACGCAGAGTGGCCCCAAGTTATCTCAAAGACTATTGTACTTCAACTTTAGAGACACTGAATCCTCAGAGACATTGTTGACATTGTTGCTAGTCCATGTTTATGTTTATTGGACCAATTATTATTTTGGTTCTACTTCTGCTTAATGTTATTGTTTCTATCTAAATGGGGAGGGATGTTGTGAATTAGGACCCAGACTCCCTCTCGGTAAGGCATTGGAACGCCTGACTATAGGATTAGAAACCACGAGTCGTGTAGGCGAAATAAAGCCATCGTCCAAGGTTGAATCCGTTGTAATCTTCCATTATTTGCCGACTAGATCGGTCACAGCACTGATGGGTCTCTTGTATGTGGGCCCTGATGCGTCTCAGCTCTCGCTACCAGTTCTGGTCGTTAGGGCATATGGGCGAAGAGTTGTATCGAGAGTGAAAAGATCAGCTTCAATGGTATGCCATGCCCTGGGGATATCTCTGTGGGGATTAGAAGTTCCTTTTGTTTACTGTACTGGAGTTCCTCACAGCTACTGCATGCTTTTGTGGTAACTTCTATGTCATTGTACAAGCCGTCTCCAGTAGAGGTGCTGGCTCTTAGCTTGATTCTCCTCGTTACTTTGTGTGGTCTGTGGAGTTTGGCGAAAATATAAATGTCTGCAGAGTCGTAGGAATGATAACTCGGTGGGCTATTGGTGAATATTCTGTCTTCGCTTGCTATCTGGTCTCTGAAGGGCCAGTTTGGCTTTAAACTGGTACAATAAATAACAAATCTGAAATTTGAAATACCAATTACTAATTCACCATCTAAACTCTTTAATTAGGCACTGTAATTTGTGATTACACTTAAAAAAGATGATGATGATTCCAATATTGAGAGCTATTGCGTTGAGAAAAAAACAAAACAAAGACACAGGACTAAAAATGGCCTGGTTATGGCCTTTCTGGCTTGTGTTTGGCCTTTCTGACACTCTATATAACCTGACTATTTGCGAAAAAGATGTCATTTGTGTTCAGTCATCGAACTGTCAACATGATTTACAAGAGAGTTGCACAAACTGCCCGATTTCATCGTGTGGGGCGAATTACCTTGTCAGATAAGCTAACCATCTCGCGGATGTTCATCAGTTAGACCACATAGAGCAAAGACAGTATTTACAAGAGGCGAAACTGCAACCTAAAGTTATAGTCGTCGTTTACGAAAGTGAAGCGGATAATTCCGGAAAAAAATCACTATCGCAATCCAGTACAGACACGTACGAACTGTCAAGATCACGGAGAAATGAAGCCTCTTTTAAAGCAAAAGCTAAAAGACCGACTACAAAGAACAAGACAAAGCGCAAGAAACAAAGAAAATCGAACCCTTGCCTTAGAAACCATACGAAAATTGTGTAGACACGGAAAGATTATTCATTGTTCCTCGAGATTGAATGGAAAAAGCGGATTTGTAATAGTCAGTCAAAGGATTAATTTTCATTCCTTTTCCTTTCAAATCGCTGTGTATTTGACTCTTTTTGTAATTGTTTTTTAAGAAAGTTTTTAAAACCGTATCTCTTGCCTGGTTCAATTGCTAGCAATTATTATTAGTCGAGAGTTTCAATTGATCCTTGTTAAGTTATTTAAATAATACGTCAAGATGCTCCCTTGGGTTTTTCCTATGGAGATGAACTAATTTGTATTCAACTTTGGTCTTGTGAACTCGCATAATTAACTGACTAACGGTGCGTGAAAATGACACGACTTTAATAGTTTTTCATTTCCTTGAGATAGAAAAGAAGAAAACGGTTTTGCAATAGTCAGAAAAAATTGAAATAAAGAGTTTTCAGCCCATAGCAGTGATGCAGCTTTTCTTGTTGAATGAGTTTGTCAATCAAAGCTGTATTAGTCAGTTGGAATACATAACCGATAAAACTGGCTATCTTTTGACGCTTGACTTTTTCCACTTCGTCAATCGGCAACAGAGGTGTAGCGCTCGATTCGACCTTTTTCAGAGCAAACTGAACTTTTAAGAATAAAATATTGAACGGAAGCCGCGCTTTTATTTTGTAGACCTAATAGATTCTCCATGAGCCAATCAGGGTTAAAAGACACCGGGCAAGTCTAGGCAAGCCTATTGCGCCTATTGTATTAGAGAGACGCTCATTAGTAAACCTATTCACTTCATTATATATGGAGGAAGAGCCTCATTAGTATGGAGGAACACAGTTTTTCCTCAGGTTATAACAATGGGTGACGTCATAGACTTTACCCTTTTGCATAGCAACGACTTACCTCGACCCACCTCGACCTAATTCGACAATTACTCGACACCAAAGAGGCTTAATTTTCAACATATTAGACTACTGGATATCCAAACTCCTTTTCTCCCACTAGTTATACACAACTTGCTGTCGGAAGAAGCTGTTGTAAGTGTCATCGCCCAATGACGCGCACAAAACTAGGACAATTTGCGAACTAACACTCCACACAAGGGCTCTCAAAAATGTTCGTGACAACTTGGTTGTCAGCAAATCCCTGAAGCTTTTGTTAAGTGACAATAAAGAAACAAGTGTAACGATTTCGCGAATAATATTATCTATATGGAACTTCCGACAACTTACCTAGAGGAATGCCAGAAAATACAATAGGCAATGCAATCTAGCCAATCAGAGCAACGTCCCTGTCACAACGCGCCAAAAGAAAATTCCTTGGTTGACGGCGGTTCGTCGGCGAACACTCTTGGCTTCTTGTTGCTGTGATATCGTTTTGTTTTGCTGCTGTTTTGTTTTGGCTTCTTGTCTGGGCCATTTAAAAGGAACATGTATGACAAAACTGATGAAAGTTTGTATTGGAAACAATCAACGTATAGATTCTTGAAATGTACAAGCACTGAAACTTTGGACAAGAATAAGAAAACACTGATACTTGTCTTTAGATGTTGGCATTATAAAAAAAACGGACAAAGTCTGCGGAAATCGTTTGAGGTAATGAATGAAATGTTTATTTTCAATAGTTTTCGTATAAAAATTAAGTATTCGCGTTGTTGCTTTATCGTCTTTGTACTCGAAATTGCGGTTTTCACCAAGAGAGGATGAAGGGGACAGAGAAGAAAAGTGTCAGTTTTGCATGCATAAGCTCACATTCTTTGGCATGGTATTGTCCGGGAAAGGAATCAGCCGCACAGAAGAAAAGGTGAAAGTCGTGAAAGAGGCACGAGAACCTTGAATGGTATCAGAAACTCGAAGTTTTCTTGGGCTTGTAAACTACTGTGGCCGCTTCATACCCGACCTGGCAACGGTATCTGAGCCCTTACGTCGCCTGGCAAAGTCAGGAACCCCTTTCGTGTTTGGAGGTGAACAGAAGAAGGCCTTCCAGGAGCTAAAAGAGTGGTTGGCCTGTGCTGAGACTTTGGGGTACTTCGACAAAGATGCCCCAACTGAAGCAATTGCCGATGCCAGCCCAGTTGGACTGGGAGCGGTACTGACCCAAAAGCAGAATAATGGACCGAGAGTCATCTGCTATGCAAGTCGTAGTCTGGCAGACGCCGAGAGAAGATATTCGCAGACAGAGAAAGAGGCGCTGGTACTCGTATGGGCCTGCAAAAAGTTCCATCCCCATGTGTATGGTGTGCCATTTGATCTTGTTACAGATCACATGCCGCTGGAAGTTATTTACGGCCCAAGGTCAAAACCCTGCGCACGCATTGAAAGATGGGTGTTACGAATGCAGCCATTCAAATTCAAGGTCAAATATGAGCCCGGGCCGAGCAACATGGCTGACCCCCTCGTAAGGTTAGTGGCAAATCTAATAACCAGCAGCAGTCACTCAACTGAAGCCGAAGAATATGTCAGATTTGTAGCCATAAATGTGACCCCCTTTCCTATGACTACGCGAGAAGTGGAAGAAGCCTCAGCAATCGATGAAGAACTCTGTGCAGTCAAGGAATGCTTAAACGGAAAACCGTGGGATCAGCTAGCCTAGTAGGCCTATCAAACCACTAATTTTCACTTGTAACCTTAATTTGTTAACCGATTGAAACACACTTTCGTGCAATTAACTTTTTCGTTGCTTGCGGACACAAAGCTCGTCCAAATTCAGGAACAATAGATTAATTTGTCGAAAATTGAGAAGCTTGTTCGCTTCCTAGCGCCCTGCAGCTCACGTATTCTCAAGATTATCATACATGATTGGTTTTTTCGTTAGACCACAAACACAAAGGGAAAGGAATGTGGTTCGATTCTCAGCAGCCGTTTGTGGCGAGGAGCGTTGCGTGGCGACACTAAAAACGGCTGTGTAGCAGACTACCCGTCCACCTCTTTGGTGTTGCCCCTGTCTACCTAAAGAAGCTTGCAATTTTCAAGGAGAGTGGTTCCTACAATTTAACATCTAATATAAGCTGCGAATTAAAGGTCCCGAAACAAAGTTCAAGACCCTTGGGGACAGGGCCTTCGCATGTGTTGGCTCCTCACTGTCAAACACTCTCCCTTCAGCAATCAGGAGTATCCGGAGCGTTCAAGGTTTCAAACAGCCTCTAAAGACCTTTTGATTTCGTTTGGCATTTGCCCAGTGAACCAATTCGTGTACAGTGATTGCGATGTTTTATTTTCATTTTCTCTGAGTGCACTGTCTGTTATATTTAGTGTGCTAGCATTTTCATCATATCCTGCTTTTGAATCAGCTCCTTTCGTCTCAACTCCAAATCCTCCTTTCTCAGCACACTCTCTCTTTCTGACTTTTCTTTCCGAATTGCACCACTTCCGACGTCGATCTTCTTCCTTTCTTCACCGTCTGGGTTTGTTCGTCTTGTTTCCCAACATTCCTTTTCTTGGTTTCTCCCAAACGCTCAACCGCTCGGTTGCGGTGCTCCTCCGCTACTGCTTTTTCAGCTTATTTGTTATCCTCTTGCAAGCTTCTCGCATCCGTGGCCGCCTTCTCTTTTTCTATGATTTCTTCTGACGCTTTGTCTAGCTTTGTTTTCTCACAGTCTATCCCACAGGCAGCTTCTTCCATTCTCATTTTCGCTTTGTACTTTTGTTGAAGTAACGTCAGCCTGTCTCTGAGACTTCTCTCCGATACCTTAAACTTAAGATGACCCACCAGAGGCATTTAAATTGGCAGCTATGTCGTTCCATAAATCTCCTCTTTCCTTACTACGGTAAGGATGTTTCCAAGGTTCAGCCACTAAAACCTCTTCACAAAGATTCAAGTCGTGGAGATCTGTCCACTCCATTCTGAAGAAACCTGATACTCGGTCAGATCATTGTCTCAAATCTTACAAACGTGCATAAACTAAATACCCTCATAAGCTACACTCGGCTTCATTAAATTAGATATAGAAAAACAAACATCAAATACAATAATTACTCTGCCTTACCATTCGAGATGCAGCTCCTGAGAAGTGTCAAGTGAGGCCAGTATCGCTTCAGACTTTGCAACCCTCTAACGGATCAAGTAAGGTGAAAACGAAAACGATGCCATCCGAAATCGGATTTCCGACTTTGACAGGCGACGTATTTCTCAACCAAAAACCCAATAAACAAACTAGTCATGAATAACAGAAGACTTCTGATAGCAGCTGAATTTCATATTGTACATCCAGTGGAAAAAGACAGTTAAAACATCACATGAGCTTTTAAGTTGACACAAAACTCTGTCAGCTTCAGCTGTTAAAGTAAACAAGATTCAAGATGCTGCATAAATTTTCCGCATGAACTCACCTGCCAAATTTTGACCAATCAGAGCATAAAAATTGAACGTAGAGCGTGACAACCGCGTGACCATGGTGAGAAAAGTCAAAAGCAACTTTCTTTCCTGCCGGTAACAGCTGGCTGAATTTTCACGTCCGAGGTCAGTTTGAAATCAAAATTTTAATTGTGCGGCACATAAACACAACATATTTCATATGAATTTAAAAAATACACTCGAGCCTGCGATCACTTGAAAACTAGTAACTTGTCAGCGGATAACTTCAAAAAATACTCGACTTCGATGGGTCGACACCTGAGCCCGCGATACGGTCAAGTGATACTGGTCAGCGGGTACCCTGTTTTGACAGCTGTCAATTGATCAAAACATTGATGTCCAATACGCGTGCATGATCAGTTTTCCTGTGCTCCCAAACTAGCTGGAACATATAAGACTGAACATTGTTCACGATCTAGTAAAATAATTAACTGGTCAGCGGACAGCTTTCAAATAAATCACGTCGCGTTGACCATATTCCATGATTATTAGCCCCGCTAATAAAACAAACGAAACACATTTTTTAATCTTACAACTTTTCCATAAAAGAAAAACCTGTGAATATTCCTGGCGGGGGCTTCTCGATCTTGCTTGACGCTAAATCCATGCAAAAACCTTTTACTCTCTTAGTATATCAGCGAAGATCTAAATGGGCATCCGCTTGCCAGCGGGAAAACCATATAGATATCACACAAATAAATTATCGAACTAGCAAAATAAAACAATTCTACAGGGTGTTTCGAAAGTTCGTTCCGATTGTAAATTGTATTTTGCCGCAAAGCATTCAATGCTTCTTTAGGCAAACGTAAACTGATTCATGTAAGAAGTTTATCTAAATAACCGTAAAAAGCAATTTCAAACTAAAATTTGAAGAAATTATAATGTTTTTGAAGTTTTGCCCCAAATGTGAACGTACGCGAGTTTTTTCCCGCCATATTTTGCCTGCCCATTTTGTAGGTTTTCTATTTTCGTTTTTTTCCGTTTTCTTCAATTTTCTCCACTCTGTCACGAAAATGAAGGCCTACACTGTTTGCGCTAAAGCTAAGGCATCTATTTTTTTGGTTCTCTGGCCATTCAGTCAAAGAAATTGTTAAACTGTTGACTGAAGTCTAAATGATATAAGTGCACCAGTGATCCAAAGTAAAAGACTTTAGAAGGCAAACCAAGGAGTGTATAGCCGTCTTTTTTAAAATGTGAGAGAAATGTTATCGAAAAAGATGTAAGTATATGCGTAATAAGTTTGCAAGGCAGAGAGGTAGCAAAAAACTTCAATTTCACAATATCAAAGTTTCGAGCACAACGGTATGAATATATATGAAAAGCAAGGGTTGGAAAGCCTTGAAGAGAAAAAGGCGGCGAACATGCAGACATGGTGTCAGAAGGATTTGGAAACTTTATAGCAAGGGAGACCGGCTAGCAAACTCACATGATGTGAACCCTCTGGAGACAATCTGGATTATCATTGACGAGAAAACATACAAAGAACCAGCCTCCAAATCACTGGACGAGCTAAGGCAGTGACTACGCTTCCCCTGGAAACGTGTGCCTGTAGACACATTTTGGGAGCTCGTACATTCTATACGTCACCACTTAGAAAATGTCAGAAAACATAAAGAAAGACATTCTGGTTAGCGATATTTCGGTTATTCAATGTTAAATGAATAATGAATAACATACTAAGTTGTACGAAAGGTATGTTTAATAATTAGTGAAATTTGAGCGAAGAAAAAATCGGAACGAACTTCTGAAACACCCTGTACATGTTTTCTTTTCTGGCTATCTTACAAATTCTAGTTATTAGGAGATTAAATAGAAGAAATAATTTAATTTTTTCTACGCTTGCGAGCGGGCGGAATCCTTTAAATCCTGCAATCTGATTGGTTCCAAGAGCGGGTGATTTTTTACGATCTTGCCCGCTAACCCGGGTGGAATCGTTGGGAGCTTCATTCACAAGTTTCTTTTCTTTGTTTTTGAATGAGCAGAAACCGTGATTTTTAAGCCATTTTTCTTTTAAAACTTGCGCTATTATTGACATTAGCTAGGGAAAAGTGAATTTTACGCGCGTTCTGGTTTTCATGCACCCGTGTCATTTCTTTGACATCTGTCGCCCAACATTCGCCCGTGTGTATCTTGTTCCATAGCGTGCAGCAGGTCATGCTATAGATAACGTTTGAAAAGGTAAATGCGTGCAGCCGAAAATCTTTTCCACATTGTAAATGAAAGGGCAAGTTTTGTATTGCATGCGTGCTTATTTGAAAGTCCAAGGTTGATCTTCAGCCTCAAAAGCGCTTAAAACTAGAAAGCTGTCTGTCACGTTAAAATAAAACAAGTACATAGTGGTTGCCAAAAGATTCTCTTACTTTCAGGGTCGGGTTTTTGTAGCATTTTGTAGTTTGTGTGTGAAACCGGGATAAAACCATGACAATTTTAAAAATAACTGAAATTAAAAAAACAAACAAACAAACAAACAAAACAAAAATTTTAAAACACAAGAGTCCATACTGAAAATAAGAAAACATTAGGCTAATTAATCTTAGGTGAAAAAGGAAATACACTTACAATTTAGTGGTTGTAGTTGGAATGCAATTCCAATTATGTGTTATGTGGCTTTTATGACAGTTGTGTTCGTTAGTAACTTTGCCAGAACTTGTTATCGAACCTGTACTGTGACACAAATGATTGCAATCTGCAAAATGAATGGACGCAAGAATAAGACAATTGGTAGAGGGAAGTTTTCAAGAAAGCGGTACATTCCGATATATGCATTAATACAGTATTAATAGACAATAACGAATTTTCATTTTTACTCATTGATTAAGGGTCAGGCCCATAGAGAGGGGGGATGCGACGGATGCGCTCCCAACCCCCGTCCCCACAGGGCCCAGAGGTCCACTTATTTTCTGTTGACCACCACCTCCCCGCTCTTTTACTCCCTCCATTTTATGCGCGGTCTTTGACTCTCGCTCCTCGTTCTTTGCTCCGAAATCGCACGGAAACGCTTCCTACGCAAGCTACTTACAGGAGCCACTGATGGGCTCCTGCCAATTACAAGGGGTAAATCTTGGATCCTTTTTTTCTTTAGCGTATGAATTGTTCCTTTTTTGTGTAGCCCTTTGTCTTTGAGGATAGTTTAAAATATCAGCTGTTTTCTGTGGCCAAAAATTAGTATTCGCGGCACAACAAAGGCTCTCTCCACTGACTAATAAACGCATCCACTATGTAACATACATTGATCTGAAAGACGTCTTTGATTGATCTGTTTCTAACAGACACCCAAGAAATTTTGAGCTTGGTACACTATTAAAAGATCATGATTAAAACATCATGCGTCAAACCTCGCGAATAGTACGGACTTACAACTTTCTTTCTATTTTTTTTTCTCTTTAAATAGCGACATCCCGTCACTATAAAAAATTGTAAAATAAAGTACTCTATTTGAAAAAATTACTTTTGAAGATTAAAAGTGTGAGAAATACCCAGTTTTTCAAAATGCTCCAAATGAGGTCTCAGGCAACCTAATTCTCCCCATCCCAGAGACTTGCGCCCGTGGCAACGTTTGGTCCGTCTCCTCGTTGGATCGCACCTCCCCGTAAGAAATTCTGGCTACAGGCCTGAGGGTGAAATCCAAATTTCCAGTGTTTGGTAAATCCTCATTGTTTACAAACTTTAATTCATACAATTTACCCGTGTTCAAAACAATGGTGAAACATGCAAAAGCAAGTCGTCTAAAACTCTTTACATTCATTTTTCACCGAATGAACTGAATCATCAATGGATAAGATAAGGACGGAAGTCAACACAACTGTTTGTGCGCACTACTATTAATAGTTGTTTATTGCAAAATGCCTCATCTACATTGAATGAAATTTAACAGCATTGAATCCTTACCCAGAAAGGTTACTTCAACCGTTTTTGAGTCAGTTCCTTCTTCATTTTCTGCTAGTAGAGTGTAGTTGCCCGTCCGATTTAGCTCGATCCCTTTTATTATGTAAACACCCTTCAAAGGTGTTGATGTATTCACTAATGTCGAGTTAATCGGTGGAGTACCTTCCAGTAGAAACCAGATATAATGTCCTGGTACAGATCTTACTACTGGTAACGGTAGCCTTATCCTCGGCTTCTCTGAAAATGAACATTAAGCAAGTTTCTAAGCTGTCCCGATCTCATGTCATATCACGCTGCAAATAAAATTTGAGTTGCTTAAACCTACTTAAATAATACTCCACAAATTGTAGATAACTTTATACTCTCCTGTAGAGCACCACGCTAAGCGATACTATATATGACATATCTCATATTTTAATAAAACGTCCCACTTCACACAGGAATCAAACAACTGATAGTCAATAGGAAGAACAGTGAAAATACAGAGAAGCCGTCTTTATGATGTCAATTACTTGATTTGAATCGCGTTATCAAATAGTTGGCATAAAACTAAGCGTTTGAATTATAAACTGATGAGCCGTCAGTTTTCCTGAACTGCCAATAGGGATTTTAGTCTGCCATAAAATTCTAGTCCCATAACTTCCCAGGAGGTTTTTGAGAATAGTGGAGCACTTCAGTCCATGGGTTTGTTGACATGACGGCGTTTACACTGCAGTCAATGTTTGATGTATGAGCTGTTTAAGCACCTCGAAGTAAGGTAATAAGTGTCGTTGAATCGAATGATATATTTTTGTTATTTTGATTACAGTTTCTTATTGCTGAAAAACAAAAGCTGATATTAAAGAAGCCTATAGTAATACTTGACACTTCAACCTGAAAGCAAAAGCTCCCTTGGTATACTAAATTTCCACTAAAACTCTCGCGTTTTAAATTTTTCTTTTGCTTATACAAATTTAACGAGACCGTTAAAGGGAGGATTTAAGTGTCACTGATTAAGAGGGAGTAACATCTTAAGTGTTTTACTTTATTATTATAATTTTTGTCTCTAGAAAAAATAAATATATAAATAAAACTTCATGATTTGTAGGGTCTACGTTACTATGCAGCCCTCGCCATTCCCGCGTTCTCTTCATTCCCCAGTCCACCACATTCCACAGTGAGTATCATTTTTGACTCCAGATTACTTACCGCGGTTCTTTGCACGTCCATATAATTACATTACATTCCTTATGTCAATAAATAACAAGTCTCATGCATAACATCTTTGTCACTTGCTTTAAATTAAACTAACCGAAAAGTATAAGACAATGTATAAAAGGACTAGTTTCAAACTTAAAAGATAACTTGGTCACCATGTCATTATTTTTTAAATGTTTAGTTAGAGTGATAATCTTTTTACCTATTTATTTATTTATTTATTTATGCATTTTTTTGATGACTAGTCTATAAAATATTTCTCTCAGTTTTTTCTAGGCTTTCCTGTTCGTGAAGTACTGACCTTTGTCAGACTTGGCACAATCAGAAGAACACTTTACATATAACTTTATTAATTTACTTGGGGATTTGAAAAATTATTACTACAGCTTTTGAGACTGTTTCTGCTTTTGACAGTTGCGCCTCCAAGAGTATGTTATGAGGAGCTAATTAACATTCTTATGCTTTGTTATTAAAACTTACTATCGCTAACCTTTTTTTTGACTTGTATAATAAGTTCCTTTAAAGTTACAAGGGGTGGAGACAGAGTCTTTTTGTAAAGCCACCATCATGAATCGACCACTTGTTTGTATGATGAAGGGCCGTCTTGCCCCTGAAAAAATTCCCAGTATGGTATCATTTTTCCTTTTTCCGTCATGCACCTGGATCCTTGTTTGGTTCTCTCGGGGATCATTAGATAGGCTAAATATCATAAATTTCAGTTTGACGGTGTGGTTAGATGGTGCCGTAATGATCCATGTACATTCGTTGTAGTTCTTGGTGCCACTGGAGCTGATGAACCCACTGGAGCCATTGACAGAAAACAAACACGGTAAAGTGTGAACAACTGCAAATAAATGTGCGAAAATCAATGTTAAAAATCTCACAAATTTTACTCTTTTGACAGGCTAACTTGTGACGCTAAAAATCTTGTTACAAATGAAAATTCTCTTCGGTTCCGTAGCATCAGAAGAGAATTGATTTTTGTTCGCTATTATATCGGCTAATGATGACCTGCAAAGTCATCTCATGATCGATCGTGTCCTTAGGTATTTTGATTCTGTAATCGTGAGCTATATTAACTACTATCATTCACGATAAGCACATCGCAAAAATGACTTCAGAATGACTAATTCGCAACGTTTGTTTGACTTTTGTCACTTTTCTTATTTTAATGAGTCGGAAAGACATTTATATTTTTATGACAAAAGACAAACAAAGAGGAATTCGTTAAAGCTAATTTCATTTTGTTTGTCTGAGTGTCGGCTCTATAAAAAGTAACGCCATGGGTAATGAGAAAAAAACAACGCAGAAAGACAACGGAATTCAGTAAAGAAAGGGACGAGTAATCAATGCATTTTATTTGGTTGGCAAACATAGAGACTCACAAAGAGCCAATCAAACGCAACCGCTGAGAACAAAATATCCACTCTCCCCTCATAGTTATATTTGAAGGCATATTATTTGTTGACGTTGTGTTTTCAGGATAAGGGAAATTAATTTACTATGATTTAAATGATTAAGGAAGTTTTGACTGATTGTGCTTTACCATTTGGTGACGGACGACGAGTAGCGAAAAACAGCATTATTTCTCACCAGTTCCTCTTCTTTGGACTGGTTTTCGGCTATTTAGCATAAGAATGCAACAAAAAAAGCATATTTTCCGACTACTCGGACGTAAATAGACAGCTTTTTTTTTTTCACGCATGCCCACTAGCCAAAAGTTGAATTTTTTTTCCGAATCTATTTCAATCTTTCTCTCTCGCTCTCTTTTTCCTTTGCCTTTCTTCTTTATTAGCAGTTTTGTGGCCCACTTTATCCTCTTTCCTTAGCATGGAATTGTGGCTAGCCAACTTTTTAGAAAAGGGACAAATTTAATCTTCAAAGAGTAGTAGGTAAACAAAATTGGCAGTGGATTTTTCCCCAAAATGTTACATTTTTGTGAGTGTAACTCTGTTAAAATTAGTCAGAATATCCAAAACGAGGTGTGGCTGGAAAGATCTATCTTTGCTGACGTTATTGCTTACCAATTTATTAACTTAAACTGAAAGCTAAATGGGTCCAGGAAGGAAAATATGCATCGTTCCATATGGAACGAAAACGGGCCAAAGCGGTCGTCCAGGGATTAATTAATAAGCTTGTTTGGTTTACAGCAAGGTTATGAAAGGTAGGCTAGTAGGGAAAGACTCGCTGTTTAGTAATTGGAATTATTTGAATGGACTGAGTAACCCGTCCTAGAATATCTGACAACTTTTTGAAAGAGACAATAAAAAGAGTTGGTAATAGGTAAAGACCTGATGAAAATGAAATATGGTTTATGTTTGATAGATTTCCCAGACGGATTATGGTAGCGGCTGGTCTACATGCTACAAGCGCACTTGGAGTAATGTTGTTAAATGTAATGTATAACAACAATTTCTGCATTTCGATTGGCGTAGAACATGTCAATTTATACCAACACTTTGCTTGTCAACCAAAAATTAATTCGGGCACATCTATTATCAACTGCACTCAAAATCATGTGATTGCCCATACAAACACGTCAGTTTTGATGACCTATTTTGTTCTAGACTACAAGCTACCTTACTGCTACAGAACAAAGAGAAAAAACATACGAGTGGACAATACAAACAAATCATAATTTTACTTGCCTTCAACTGTCCACACTGACACCAAAATTAATCCAAGGAAAACTCCTCCTTGCAATGGCATCTGTAAATAATAATAATAATAAAATTAAGATGGTGGTCTTTTCAAGTAGACCTGATTTGCATCATGTGAGTATAGCCGTCGTATCTGCCCTTTGGATTTTTTTTACTTTTCTTGAGCTTGAGAACAATAACAAATTTTAGTCGGCAAATGCAGAAGCCTTACATGAATGCCCCTAATCAATCCACCCCTCACCTGTTCTTGGCGCATCACTGATGTTGACTCTCTCGCAACAAAGTAAACAGAGTACTAAGTAGTAACAAAGTGCCTGTTATTAGGTCATTAAAGTTAGTTTTAATGATGGTCATGAGCTCGGAAAATTTCTCATTTGGTTTGTCTGTCTAATAAATATAACGAATAATGACAAATATATAAAAATTTAGTGGTAGCACATCCACATCATGTTTAGTGATTCCTCGTCTAACCAGCAACAAACTCAACCGCATATGGTGTCGACACCGGGATTTGAACCCAGGCTAAATTAATAGGACGCGAGCACCCTTGCTATTAACAAACTCAAAAGGTAATGGCGTAATCGATTGCAACTTACAAGAAAGGACCGAGTTAGGGAAGCATTATCAGAAAAGTGAGGGGGGGCGGGGAGGTGTAAGTCAATATGAGTGGGAAAAATTGTCTACACCTTTCCAAGCAGTCAAGAACATTTCTTTCCACCCTTCTTTTAAGCCTTCAGTCACTGAAAGTAAAGTAGCTCACCAACTCCTTTTAAATGGGAAATTGGTAACAAACATGTAAAGTTCGTACTGGATGGTAAGAAACACAGCGAAAGACTTGGCTTCAAAAAGCTTTCAACTACGAAGTGTTGGAAGCCAGTATATCAAGCTTAAAACTGTGAAAGGCATTTAGGTTAGACAACATCGTTATTGATCACAAATCAAACATTTTGAACGCAAGGCCAGGCCCTGTTGTTACACCTGTAAACCTATGATTATATGTTATCAGGAAAAATTTAAAAATTAATAAATTAAAGAAAAAAAACATTTGAACGAAAACCTGTGTGATAGCATCGCTATCACCAGGAAAGGACTAAGCACTGGCCCAAAAAGTTATTTAACGGTCTCCAACTACACCTATAGGCACATAGAAGGCTTATGCTCCCAATACAACGGACCGACAGGGAAAGAAAGACTAATCCCTGAGCTGTAGATATTCTTAAGCGCGAGAAATTCTGTTCTATACCCGGTTCAAGAAAAAGAACACTTCAGTCACTTTTCCATTTGTTTACAAAATTCTTTCTTCGTCTTTTTTCAGTGCCCCACGAGAGGTAGCACCCGGAATTTACAAAACAACAAGCAAGTTCAAGTTGATCGCTTGTCCAGATCTTCTCTTTATGTCACGTACTCTGACTGACCAGCGACGTTCAACGGGTGTAATTGAGTGGATAAACTACTTACCCCTTGTGCTCACTTGGAATACGCGCACCTGCCCATCCTGACCCGGGAAAACTTCTACCATTCGACCAAGATGTCAGTGACCACGTGAAACATTCTGATCACAACGAGCACGAACTCTTCACCTTTCAGATTCTCCTTCGCCGCTCTCCATTTCGTTCAGGTGTTAAGTATTGCCAAAAACTCTTCTCCCCAGCGCCTTCAGAACGCTTTCACCAAGTTCTAAATAAGTCTCTAACGGTTCCTGGAGCTAAACACCCTTTCACCAGTAACTTGAGGTACTAGTTGTCCTCCGAACTGTTCAACTAAGAAATGGTTAGGAGTGAACACTGGCTCGTCTCGGGCGCAGCTCCTTTATACGTCAATGGTCTCGAGTTTATCAAGTTTATTCTACCTATTTTTAGCAGTTTGCAGTTCTTCGTCGCATCGGTTAGCCCTGCATTTCCAACTGTTACCTTCAGAGTTTTCTTAGCTACTTTAACCTGCGACTCAAACACCCCATTGAAGCGAGACCCCAGCAGAGGATTTCAATTCCATCTGATCCCGTTGCTGGGAGTATTATCTTCGATCTACACTTGGTCTCTTTGCTTTAAAAAGTTCTCTGAGCTCTCTCTCCGCTCCTACAAAGTTTGTCTCATTATCACTTGTGATTTTGTACGGTCTTCTTCCGCTCCCCTAGTAGCTACCATTCGGCTAGACGCATTCAGGAAATCTGTACCGCTCTGCTTGGAGAGCAAGTAAAAAGGCACAGATATTTTTTTTGAGCAGATAATCTTTGTGTAATCTTGGTTGTAAGGGGCCCAGCGCAATCAACACAGTATTTTGCAAACGCTCTTTTCAGGTTTCGACCTTGGAAGTGGGGCCATGATCTGCACTGCTCTCTAGACACGTCCTCTCTCACACAACTTGCATTCTTTGTCCGACTTCTGCACCTCTTTCGGATCATCTATGACCCAGTATCGATTTCGTACCTGAGTTAGCACGTGATTTGCATGATGGCAACGGTAGTGGACTTCGGCAACAATTGGGTGATGTAATGTTCCCTTGGCATGTACATGGGGTCTGCTGCATTATAAGGTAGTTCTGGTTGCTCCAGCTGCCCTCCGACTCGTAATATGCCTAGTTAATCCACAATGGGCGTAATAGGTTTCAAGAGTTTTTCCTTCTGACTTCTTTACCTCAAATTAAATTTTTTATATCTTTAGGAAATCTTTCCTCCTTTGCTTCTTTTATCACAGTTTTGCAGCTCCGTCTATTTAGCTGACGTCAATATAACTTCGCTCCAATTCTAATCACCCAAACGTTTGCATGGTTTCTTTACTTGGCCAATAAGTGATCAGCAAATCATCTCAGACACGCTATTAGTTTTTAAGTCGGTTCCAACTGGCGTAATTTAGTCTGATTCATCAATGGTTGTGAAACCTTTAACCCAAGGGTTTAACTATCTGAGCAAGACACTCTTCTGAATGCTCCTCATACGCTATGCATTTTCCTTGAGGCCAGTCACTTTTATGCTCATACAGGAACTCAGGTGCATTGACCAGCGATGCTTGAATAGATGTGGCAACAACATTTTTCTCAGCAATACAATGTCACCTTGAAACTTGAACTCCGGAAAACTCAGGTAACTGACTGAATCATTCTTTACGCTTCTTCTTTAAGTCACTGGGAAACTCATTATCCCAACCTGATCATTCTAAGCTGGTGTCGAGCTTCTATAGCTTTATCCTTCATGTTTATCTGTATTAGAATTGTGGCTACTACTAGCAGATAGTCATATATGTTGTCTTCTGTATGTTTTTGCACAACGTACTGGGCAAGGCAAGGTGAGGAGCGGTAAACAAACATCAATCTCATTGCTTTGTAGACTTCAGAAGGTCTAGAGAGGTCCAACCCTCTCTACAGAAGGCGGTGGTGCTGTCTGTCTTGCTTTACCATGGTAACTTGCGAGAACATCTCCGTCAGATCTGCTACCAGAATAACTTTGGAAAAGCAATAGCACATCGAAAACATCTTGCTGAAGTTTTTTGACCATTATGGATTATTCCGACGAATCTGGCTGCTGAATCGTAAACTATTCTCACTTTGGTAGCCTCTTTGTCTTCTCTCACTAAAGGAAAATGAGGTAGGTATCAACTTGGCCATTCATCAATTTCCCTGAACCAGCTTCCGGCTATAAACCTTGGCTTTATTACTTCCATCACCTGGTAGTATTTTTCAGCAACGTTCGGCCTTCGTTAAAGTTGTTTCTCAAAAGAGTAGAGTCGGTCTTAAGTGGTCGTTCTGCTGCACTAGAACGGCGGCTCATCGTCCTTCCATGAAACAGCCACCTCATAGTGCCCCTTAGGAAAACGCCTTGAATCCGCAGGCAGCAAGCACCCCTTCTTTTGTCAAGGGCTTGTTTACATAAGTGATTCCATAACTCCTTCATCCCACATCTTCCTTATGAGCTCATAGTCTCTCAAGGGTGCATGGAAAGTGTAAATGTGGTTAGCAACGTGACAATTGTTTGCTACTTCCAAGATATGTCCAACAATTGTTCATCCGAGGGGTGTCTACTCCTACAGGCTCCCGCGGCTTTCCTATGCCATGTTCAAGTGGTAATAAATCAACTGCTCCATGTTCAACAGGCTTTATGATCTCCACATGGCAAAAATGGTTTCGTTTTCTTGTATTGGGGACAAATCAACCACTGTTATTTCACAAATTCTCGGGGTTATCTATAAAAAAACGTGCTTCTTAACGCTCCCATGCATACTCTATGGCAAACAGTAACAGTTTTGCTATCCGTCACAATCGACTTCGTTCCAAAAACAGTAACACGGAGGCGTCTTCGCTTAGCGTGCAAAAGCAATAAATCAGTGATCTACTCTTCAAGGCAGTACGACCCAGAACCAACAAGAAAGGCGTTTGCCCTGATAATTATCCCGTTTTCGCCCTCCAATATAACGGGTACTATCTGCAGGGCAACCTTTTCCAGGGCGTAGTACACTTGCGGCTTCTACAGTCACTCCACAGGTTGTGGGATTAGCTGCCCCATTTGTTGACGTGTCTCCTGCTGCTGCTTGCGGGGGAGAAAATGTCTCAACCGAGGGGTTTAACTGCGATAACTCTATGACTGCATGAAGTTGTGGGTGGTTTGAGGCACAGAAAGCACAAACCCAGTTTCTCCGCCAAGTACCATCGTTAATTCACATTTGATTTCTTTGCACACAAAACATTCCACTTTAGCTCCTGAATTTGCATGAGTCTCAATAAGCGCATTTTTTGTTGTTTCCTAGAACCAGTCCGATTTCTTTGAATTTGACTTGGTTTTCTTTTGGTCAGGATTCGCTTTGGTACTTCCATAGCCAAAAGCCATCTCTTGGTCTTGATTCTCGGTTTTCAGCCACTCATCTAGATTGGTAAAGTCAAATTCCTTCGGCCGCAACCCTATCTTTCGCGTGCTCCGCCTTACACCAATTTTCAGAGGCAGTTTTGTAACAATCTGCTGCATATTAGCTGCTGATCGCAAATCTGCTTTGAGGTCTTCAACGTTCTCACAATGTTGCGCAAGTTGTCGACAAAGGATCTCAAACATGGTGTTTTCATTCT